CGTGACATCATTGAGGCCGGCTAGATCAGACATGATCACAGCCGTAACAAGTGCGAGTAAGGAAGTAAGTAAACGTAGTCTGTGCCGCTCACTGTGGTTGCTTTACCCGTTTGCATTTGCTTACGAAATGTGAAGTGGCAAAAACATCTAAACGATGTTTACCAGGCAGTTTTAGGGCTTTCGATTATGGTAATATGAACGTGATAAAAGTACTGCAAAAATACACAGACGCGAACGGTGACAAAAATCCAAAATTCGGTACAATAAAAATGGATGAAATCTGCGGTGAGGAGGCGGGAGCAAAAATCACAAAAAATCCCTTACCTCGGCCAATTTTCGAGCCGAAATAGTCGGCGGCAATTTGAAGAGGAATAGTAGCCGGGGTGTGGCAATGCGTCCTGCGGCAATGCAGTAGCGCGGCAGGGGCAAGGTACGAAGCAGTGTTTCGACTGAGTGCCGCAACTTTGTCCTAGGCTTGTTAAAGGAGAAAGGATAGACTTGCCTGATACGATTGAGGAGTTTGAAAAGCGCGACATACCGGGGATCAAGATTTGTACCATAGGTGACAACCTAGGAAACGGGGATTAAAATAAGAGTCATAATAAGATGACTAGACCTACCAGAATAAGATGGGAAACGAGGAAAAGATAGTAGAGATATTTCAGCCGTTCCATATCCCATTCTGCCAAAATATCTTCCGCATTCTAAAAGCAAAGTTTGGATAAGGGAGAGAAGCAATGTTCAAACTTTGGCATTCGAGAGAAGCTCATCCAGCAGGTGTTCTTCATCTCGAAATTGCAGAAAAATGATCTGGCGCTCGCAGTCATAGAATCCTTGGATGACACTCTATGAACTAAGTCAAGGGAAAAAACCAGTTTACCTTGCCACAGGGCAGGGAGAAAATACTCTTCTGTAGGAAGTTTTCAATAAGCTGCGAAGTACTCCCACAGGTAAGACTGTCCCAAGACCCAATTATGGATACAACAGCGACTTTCTTGGTTTTGAGGGGTAACAAACTAGTAATAAGTTACAGGAGTATTGCTAAAACCTACACAAAGTCGAAGGCAGGGGGAACTGGGAAGCGTCCACCGCAGTATGCAGGGGTCGCCATGTGGCTGTTGCAAGAATAGGAAAACAAACAACATAAATAGTGATAAAAGCGACGATTATAGGACAAACTGCTATGAATTCCTTTCTAGGTGAAGAGCCAAACGTCGCTGTTCAGTAGTACCTACGTGAAGTTTACATATGCACACGGCAGTATCGTAGCGATACCGCTCACGTTTTGAAGCCTCTTAAAGCGCGCACATCACC